ACCAGCCCAACATTAGAACGATAATGGTGCAGGCTGAAAATGGTCCTTTTTGAGCATGGATTAGCTACTACAGCCTGGACCTTGATCAGAGTGAGAATCTTAGGGGTGCACGGGAATAAATTTTATACAAGTCCAAGTCTCCCACCAAGAACTTTCAAATATAAGCAACTCAGGGCAGAATGAATGTCATTGTAATTTTATCAGAACAAAACCAACACTTTGTAATTAAGGCGAGAGAAGGGACAAATTATTAGCGTGACTGATTCTGGCTGAGCTTCAGAAGCTGTTTTTCAAATCATATCTCATTTTAGTTGTTTAAGGGAATGAATATTTGGGGCTTTCCTCAATCATGACACAACAAATTAGCTCCCTTATTCTTATCCAGCTGGTCTGGGTTCAGTTTGGATTGTGGAAAGGAACCACAGCAGCTCATCAGCACGGAGCGGTTGCACCTGGCAATTATGAAAGGAAAAAGGGGAACAATCGTGCGATCCAGCCAATGACATTATCGTGTCTGTAGACAGATTAATATGCATACATCAGCATTCACTTTGATGTGATGAATATTCCACCAATTACAGAAGTGTCCTCCCACACACTCACACGAAATGTTTGTCCTCTCAGATCCTTACAGGCATTAACACGATGTTGAAGATTTACATAGGAAGGAGAATGGCATAAAAGATGAATAATTAAAACGCACTCCTCTTTAATCAAATGGATTACACTTTATTGGGAAATTAAATAAAACAATGCAAAGCTGTGTCAGGAAAGCAAAAAACAAACAAACAAAAATATTATCCAAAATCGTAAAACTACATATAAAAACGCAGATAAAAGGTAATAAGACAAGATTTATGGGATATATCTGACAGTGAGAAACAACTAATAACAACAGAATAAGAGCTTAAAAGAGGCCATTAGGGCTAGTGACAACAAACTCGATCTATTAACAAGATATTTGTTTAAACAGTAACCGAAGTGGTGTCTCTGTTTGGGATGTTGAGTACGATGTACCACAGAAAACAAAGAGCCAATCTGTTGCAGAAGGACAGAACCTGGTCCAGGAATTTTGCTACTTGGGAGTGTCGTGGGTTCAGCAGAACTAGGACGCAAAAAACACCAAATTAATGACTCGTGGAACAAAACTGACGGAGCAATATATTAGCTAACAGCCAAAACTAAATAAATAAAACAAGAGGCTTTGCTCAGACTGGAATTGGTTTCAAATTCTTAGTATCAGCATAAAAACGATTAAATAATTCAATACATTTGTTTTTATGGTACTGTAAAACACTTTGTCTTTTAAATGTTTGAATCAACTTCTTTAATAGTTATGTGACAAGTTGATTTCGACCTCAGAACATTTAATTTAGTGACAGAAGTTCAGCAGCCTGCAACGATTTTTCTATTTCTTTTGAATTTGGACAGATTCTCCGCTGATCAGTGACTTCCTGCTCAGCTGAATTAGTGAATTAATTCAGTCTAAAAAACAAAAAGAGCAGCTGGGCATTATCCTCAGAGGAACTCCCAAGTTGCTTTTGGGGTGATTTGAATAACCGGTAACCCCCCCCCCCCCCAACACCACCACCACCACAAATATGATTAACTTTGCCAAAAGGCTCTTTTCAACCTGAATGACACTGCTGCATGAGAACTAAGTTCTTGACTCCAATATGTATATTTCTTTAGTAAAAAAAACAACAACACATTAACAACTGACAAAACTATTCAATAAATAACTCAATTTTTTTTAACAACTAGGATAAATATACCTTGTAGTAATATAGTTGACAATAGAAATATAATAACAACAAAAAATAAAATAATAGAAAAAGCTATCCACCTTATTCCTGCGGGCTCTACTGTATCAATGATTATGGGTACAACTTCCTGTCAGACACAGGAAGTAGCAGTAAGCATTGCTTAACCAAGGTAGCGGAAACGGTTCACATTTACTTAACAACCATAAACTTGACTAAAATAGCCTCGTGGAGTTCAGGTGCGTGCTGTGTTGTTCGTGGCTGCACAAACAACCAGACCGAACTAAATCAGTGGCTACAACAACAGCGCTCTGAAACAAAACAAGTGTTCCTGTGGAAAGCGTTATAGTTTCCATCGCCTACCTACACATGAAGAAATAAGAAGAATGTGGCTGAAAAATGTGAACTTGACGACACCACCTGAAACGCTGTGTGTGTGCTCATTTCACTTTGTTGACAAATAGTCGATGGAAGAAAACCTGCATTCTACTTTGTGGCTGAACTACAATAAACCACCAGAGAAGAGACGCCGGATCGTCAGAATGAATGAAAACAGTGTGACGAGAACATCAGATATGATTTCAAGTGTATGAAGGGGACAGCGTTATAGTATTTGTTCCGTTTTCTTTCATTTGATTTCCTCTGCTACTAACCCAAGCTCGGTGATGGAAGGACTTTAAGGCTTTGGCTGGGCTCTATGTCTGCTTGAAGGTAAATAAGATTGTGTCCCATCTTTTTTAACAAAACGTGACCGACCTTGTTACTGTGTAGATACTAATACGCCTCAGAGCTTTTCGGGTTGTTCATTGCTTCACTGTCAGAAGCAACCGAGTCAATAAAGTAGTTAAATATGCTAAAAGATGTAATCTCTTGTAAAGTGGTGTGATTATATTGTCCAGTTTGAGCTCCGACAGCTGGTGTTCCCACATGTTTAATTTAAATCCACAATGCTCACAGAAACTACATTAGCTCGTACTGTTCACACATAAACAAAATGCTGGTTCTGATCCACGCAGGAAGTCGTGCCCATAACTTACGCATGGCAGCATGGGGGATAGGAATAAAGTGAATACTTTCGTTGAAAGTATTTCCCTGATTAAACTTTAGGCCACAAAGAAATTTTTAACTTTTCCAACACAAACTCATGTAAAACAATGCTGAGGGGTATATAAAATGGAAACGTGCAGGGTGAGAGTGCGATTGTATAAAAACGGACAGCATGAGGTCACCAGAACAAGCTAGTGCTGATGGATGTGTAGAATCTAATGTCCATGAAATCTGCAACGTACCTTCCACCTATTCCCACACTGTTGGCAGAAGACAAATGTGGTCATCGGCTCATCAGCACTACGAGTTTGAACCTGTGAATGAACAAAATAAAGACAACTGATTAAAACTTGTTTCAATGTATGTATTAATTCATTCTTAATACAGAAATATAAGTATATTATTTTCTTGGCTGAACATCACATGGAGGCCCTATAACTTTGACAAATTAAACCTCCCTCTACTCGTTTCACACACACACACACAAAATCAACACGAGCATCTACAAGCTGCTAAATCTACCTGTGTGTACGTGCAGTTCTTCCCCTTGCATTTGCCACAGGTGAACAGATCAGTCTGGGTGCCCCCAGTGGTGGCCATCTGGTGGTCCCTGACAGCTTCTTTGGTCAAATTCTTCCTCATTTCCTTCAGTTCATCGCTGGCCATTTCCTACAAAAAATGTCAATAATAATAGCCTTTAAATCAACACATTTAAATATGACTGCTTAATAAAAGCTTTTAAGTTCTCGGGGAAAAAAAAGACCGGCAGCTAAAACATTCATTGGTGTCAACAGATATCCTCATCAGTGGGCACACCTCTGCAGTCATCTTGGCCATCCGCTCTGGAGTTACACTCCCACATAGCACCGTCCTCCTTAAATTAGGGTTTTTTACGTCCTTTAGATTCGAGATCCGACTCCGCACACGGTTCTTGTATTTCATGTCTGTGTTCTTAAACTCTTGGAAGATACGTGAAAGCTGGTTAAGGAATACAACGTTTTGAAAGGTGGCACGTTTTATGCTTCACTTCAAAAAGCGCAGCATGAACTTTGAGGTTTAACATTTGGCAAAGTAACAATGTGCATTTTATCATGCGTACATTTAGGACATTTTAGGTGCAGACTATTAGTGACAAAGTATAAGATCAAAATACTAATTTTCACTAAACAAAAACTGATGAAAACATAAATTTGACATCCTGAAATCACGCGAATGGCTGCTTCAAAAACATTCGGTTTAAAGGATATTTTCCTCAATCTGTGCTCCGAGCTCCTCACAATCAGCTCCGATAGCAATATAATCATCTGCAAGTAAAATATATGTGACATCAGAGGGCGCAAATGAAAGTAGATAAATGTAAATGACAGTAAATAAAGATTGGAAGTAATGAGTCGTGGTGTAAGTTTACCTCCAGTCTGTAGAGCATTGGTCAGCATCTCTCTACACTTGATCCTGATAGAGTCAAATGTGCTCGGAGCACGAGGAAAAGCGTTGTTTAATGTGTTGGGAGCGACTTCAGAAGATTCGCTCTTGCTGCTGGAATTACTGCTGGAACTGCTGTAGGGGATTACGAAAAAATATTAAACATCAACTGAGGCAACAAGAATCAAATATAAACAAATCATGGCAAAATACGAACAAACACATAAACAATGATTTTTCTTGTTACCTCTCTTCTTTCGCCTCGGGACTTCCTTGTGAGGGAGAGAGAACAGGCGTTGATTGGTCTTTCCTCTTCTCTTCTGAAGCTTTATCTCCACCTCCAGGCTCATCTGAAGTATCGTAACAAAAATCAAACAAGTACAGATAAGTATATATACAAGTGACAATAATATCAGAAAACAGGGCGCAGAGAGAGAGAGATGAATATTACTGCTCTTACAATCAAGCCCACAAGCACAACATATGCATCTGAATGCCAGTTTTACACATGCAAACACACTTAAATAGAACAGCATCATTTTACATACAGTTAAATAACCAGATCACTTCAGCATACTTACACAGATTTATGTATGATTATAAATGACGAGTAACAATTACCCAAAAGCTTTTTCCATGATTTGATCAACGACTTTGCTAAAGACGTCACCTCCTCGTCTGTGCTTTGCTTGCGGATGGCATTAACCGACATACCAATTCTGGTGGACTGTTAAAAGACAACAAGTCAGTACTTCAACACAGTCTGTAACCAAATCAAACCCTCAGAATAAGAAAAGAGTACACATACCTGAAGAAGCTCCAGTGTCATAGGAACATTACGCAACTCCTTCAACAAATCCAAAGCTCCAGCCTGCACAGAGAACAGAGAACCGTTAAGCAAACTTCACCCCATCTCACACTGACGCTCTTAGTCCTTTATGACTGCTCTACTGAAGCTACATGGATGGTACATTTTTAATTTGGTATTAAAATACATTCCACTAATACCTGCATATTCAACAGGAGTTAAACATGTTTTGTTGTTGTTTTGCCTGTCTAATAAAGTAAAATAAAAAAAAGGTACAAATTATTCTTTCTACATAATTAAATGTATGTTTAGAAGTCATGTTTAGGATTAAGTACATTACTAATTAACTTAAATAAAAGTGTGGAATGGAATGTAAATAAATACAATTTCTTCAAAAAGAATAAAATTAGAGCAATGACTGTTGTTTATGGAAAGATGTAAATTTGCTTCCTATTGACAAAACATTATTTCAATCTATTTAATTATAGTATTATGACAGAGGCACAAGTGTGTAAGCATCAAACTGTTGTAATAAATGCTGGAGGTGAGTCAGAACTAAATGTCTTTATAAAGAGTATTTGAATATATTTGATTGGTCGTAAATAAATTTAAATAATGAAGAAAATTATAAAGATGTTTGCTAAACATAGTGAATAAAACTATATCTAGGAAGAGAAAATATATTATTTGAGAATAAATACATATTTGAAGTATTTTAACACATTAGTTTCCAATAAATAATAAAAAAAAAACCACAAAAAGAGCTAGAATAAACAGTTTATTTTACTTATAATCTAAACCTGAAAGTAAGTTACTAAACCTGATACATTCTACATTTGTATATTAGTAAATAAAGTATCAGTTAAAGTAACATACAATTAAAAAGGAAAATAAATTCATTGCTTAGATGACATATGATAAAATAAAAATAAGTAAGAGGTACAAATAAAAGATTGGTACAGTTTTATGGAAACAGAAAATTTAAAATGAGCGCTATCTCAGTTTATCTAAATTTTCGTTTGTTTTAGGAAACACAATTTAAACTCACAAAAAAGCTGATTGAACTAGAAAATAATATGGACTTATTTAAAATAGATTACGTAACGACAGCTTTATTATTGCTTTATGCTACAGCGTTGCTAGATGGCTAAATAGTGACCAGTACAATATCCACAACACTTAAATCTAATGAATAACATTTTAAATGTAGTAAGTTTGTTAAAGTGATCACATGCAATGCACGATGCAGCTTAAGGCTGCTCGTAGGGGCTAACTTCTACCAACGTAAACAAGGACTGGAGTGAACGAGCTAATTATTTACAGCTAACAAGACATACACAAAGTTTATAGTAAATCTGTTACATTTTTAATTAAATATACTTCTATGGCTGGATAATAAATAATCAGTACCCTGGTAAATATATACCAGAGTTTGTAAATAATGACTAAACTGCAAAGAAGCTAAATTAGCCTGAACTGAACTCTCGGACATCCCATTAAGTCCGCTACATTAGCATGCTCGGCTAACACAGCATTCAATCCTCTGAGACATCTCACCCCGTTCTTCTTCTGCGCCATTTTATCCATCTTCTTCGCGATTCTGATTATCTCCTCTTCCTCCTTCTTGCCCATTCTGACAGATTTAATGGAATTGAAAAATGATGTGCAATCGAAGAAAGGAAATTTGCGACAATAGACCACGCCACTGACAAGAAGGCAGCAGCGGCGGAGTCAACTTGGCGGCGGACCGGGGACCGCAGACTATCCGCTGTGTAGCAGACCTGACTAGTCGATACCCGCATCTTCGAGGGAAGTTAATCGATATCGATCATATTATCACTTTGGTACAATTTTTTTCTCATCTCACGTGCATATAGAATGCAAGAAATTACTAGTTTGATTTAAACCTTGATAAAAGTCTAAATTTATGCACAAATAGACTTCCAGTTGTAGGAAACAAAACTTAAACTTTAAGCGCTTTAGCAACTTGCCTTTAGATGGTGCAAAAGTGCAACTTTTTAAATTTTTAGTTATGAATTTATTTGAGCAATTTTTGGTCAGATAATGAATTACTTTGAGTTCTTGTTCAAAGTAACCGGATGTTGTTTTGTTAGTATAACTATGATGTTCAAAGAACCAAAAGTTTAAGATTTTTTTCTTTATAGTTTTTTAAAATTTTATTTACAATAATAGTAATTGCAATACTTAGTATTCAGTGTCAGTCTAACTCAGACCATTGTGACTTGACCTTTTGCTTTACTACTACTACTACTACTACTACTACTACTACTACTTCTGCTGCTGCTGCTACTACTACTACTACTACTACTACTACTTCTGCTGCTGCTACTACTAATACT